GCATTTTGGAGGTTCAGTAGGTACCTTTCTGTTACATTAGGAATGCATACTGATCTTCAATGGTGCTGACTTCTGTCATAGGCCTTGTGAGAATGCACTCAGGCACAGAGTATTCTGAATATCCACTTTGGCATGCTATTAGAAACAAGAAGAATGTGCAAATGGTTCTGAAGAGCAATCATAGAATCATAGAAAATTAAAGTCTGCAAATGGTTCTGAAGAGCAATCATAGAAAATTAAAGTTGGAAGTTGGCCTACAAGGCCATCAGGTCCAACCCCCTGCTCAGTGCAGGAACAGAATCAAAGCATATCTGCCAGGTGATTACCTGAGTTTTTCTTGAATGCCTCCAGTGTTGAAGCATTCACACACACACACCCCGATGTTAATGGTTCCATTGTCATACTGCTCTAACAGTTAGGAGGTTTTTCCTGATATTCAACCAAAATCTGGCTTCCTTTAACTTGAGCCCATTGTTGCGTGTCCTGCTCTCTGGGATGATCGAGAACAGATCTTGTCCCTTCTCTGTATGACACCCTTTCAAATATTTGAAGTGTGTTATCATATCCCCCCTCTGTCTTCTTTTCTCAAGGCTAAACATGCCCAATTCTCTCAGTCTTTCCTCACAGGGCTTGGTTTCCAGCCCCTGATCATCATGGTTGCCTTCCTCTGAACTTTTTCCAGTTTTTCAGCATCCTTCTTGAAGTGTGGTGTCCAGAACTGGACACAAGACTCAAGGTAAAGCCTAACCGGTGCTGAATAGGGGGGGGGGTGTCCAGAACTGGACACAAGACTCAAAGTAAAGCCTAACCAGTGCGGAATTGAGGGGGGGGGGCCTAACACCTTGCGGGATTTGGAAACTACTAGTAATGCAGTCTAAAACAGCACAATGCAGCCTAAAATAGCATAGCAAGAGCTATGGTTGTGTTGGTGTGTGAAAAATCAAATCTGGTCTGCCTTTTCCACAGGCAAAATATCCCCCTTGCTTTGATGCAACTTGTAAGTCCTTGTGTGTTGCTTTAGATCCAAAGGGTAGATCCAAAAAAGAAAGGCATTGAGGAGGTGGTACACATTCTTCAGAGCAGCTATGTTTGCACCATCAAAACAATGTCAGTTGTCCTCCGCTTGCCCCTGCCATGATATCCAACAACCAGCCAGGTAAGCTGATCTTCAACTTGCAAAACTGCAAACATATGCCAGCAAATAGACCCACATCCTTTACTGCTTAAGACAACTCTGCATCTGATTGCAAAGTTCCTTGTCTTGTCTGTTTCTGCCCATATCTATCATGGAGTGAAACTGCTGTATAAACAGTTGTGGTAAGATGATCTGGTTTGTTACCGATTAGACTACTGTTCCCTTGGGACTTATTGGCGTCTGCTCTATAGTTTATCCAACTGATCATTGCTGGGAGCAGAGTTTGTAAAGTGGGGTTTTTTTTAAAAAAAGGTTGCACTAGTTGGAAACTTCTAGAAGTTATTGTCCCCCAAAAGTAACCTCCTGAAGCTCTGGTTCAGAGATCCATTCTAACAGTTTATTTTTCAAATATTTCACGCAACCTTGACTCAAATTGCACCCCCGTCTGCCACCCAGAGCATAGCCAATGTGTCTTTCTTATGTATGTATGTATGTATGTATGTATGTATGTATGTATGTATGTATGTATGTATGTATGTGTGTGTGTGTGTGTGTGTGTGTGTGTTTGTTTGTTTGTTTGTTTGTTTGTTTGTTTA